TCTGTATGTGCCACAGTTTGTCATCCATTCATTCACTGAAGGACATTTGGGTTTCTAGTTTTCAGTGACTATGAATAAAGCTACTGTAAACCTTTCTGCACAGAATTTTGTAGGAGCATAAGCCTTCATTTGTCTAGATTAAACAGGAGTGAAAGATACATGTCATATGGTAAGTGTATGTTTAATTTCATGATAAGCTGCAGAACTGTTTTTAGAGTGACTATACATTTCCAGAGTAACTGTAGCATTCCTCTCAGCCATGAACGAGAGTTCCAGTTGCTCCTTGTGTTCACTAGGACCTGGTATTGTCAGTTTTGTTTTTTTTAATTTAGCAATTTTAATAGGTGTTTACTGTGTAATACTTTATTCTGATTACTTCTTTTGCTACCTATTATTAATTTTAAAAAAATTTCAGAATATTACAAGTCTAGACACAATTTGGTTACATCATTTGCTTTTGTACATTTTAAGTTAAAAGTTCTGTGGTATATGTACACCATGGAATACTATTCAGCCATTAAAAAAATGGAGACTTTACAGCCTTTGTATTAACATGGATGGAAGTAGAATATGTTATTCTTAGTAAAGCATCACAAGAATGGAGAAGCATGAATCCTATGTACTCAATTTTGATATGAGGACGATTAATGACAATTAAGGACACAGTGGGGGTAGGGGGAGGGGAGAGCAGAGAGAGGAAGAAGGAGGGAGGAGTGGGGAAAGGAAGAGCAGAGAAAGGGAAGGAGGGAGGGGGGTGGGGTCTTGGTGTGTCCCACAGTTTTGGGGGCAAGACACAATTGTAAGAGGGACTTTACCTACCTAACAAATGCAATCAGTGAAACCTGGTTTCTTCCACCCTCAATGAATCCCCAACAATAAATTTTTTTTAAAAAGTTCTAAGCATGCATTTCACCCAGAATGTATGCCTTGTACCAGTGATGTGTGAATTACTGGCCTGCCTGGTACCAGTGATGTGTGAATTACTGGATTCCCATTGAGTTTCATTTCCATGTGTGCACATAAATGTTGGAATAGCTCTAATTTAGTATTGAGCACATGTGGTATTTGTCTTTTCATTGTTATTATACTTCACTTAGAAGAATGGGCTCCACTTCCATCCAGATCTTTACAAAAGATACCACTGTTTTTTCTGGCTAAGTAGTTCTCCATGGCATACATATACCACATTTTATTAAGTCAGTCATGTATGAATGGACATTTGGGTTGTTTGCACATCTCTGTGATTGTGACTTCTGCGGGTATAAACATTCAAGTGCAAGTGTCTTTTTGATAACATTTTTTCCCCTTTGGGTAAATACCTAGTAGTGAGATTGCAGGATCTAATTGTAGTTCTACTTTTAGTTCTTTGAGGACTATCCATACTACTTTCCATAGAGATTGTACTAATTCAAGGTCCCACCAACGCTGCTTGAGTGTTTCTTTCTCTCCTCATTCACACCAGCTCTTGTTGTTTTGGGACTTTTTGATAAGAGGCATTCCCACTGGAGTTAGGTGATTATGTCACTGTTGTTTTGAGTTGCATTTCCCTGACGACAGAGCTGATGAGTATTTTCTCATGTATGTGTTGGCCATAGCTGCTTTTGGCTTACCTTCTCTGAGCATATTCCTAAATCTATCCCTTCAAGCAAAAGATTTCTAATAGGTTTTAGCTTTAGAAAACTGTAAAGTAGATCACATTCAGTAAATACTAACAGTGGACCAGGCAACATATTAGTTGTTAGGAGAACAAAGGATAGGATGTCTGACTTTAAAGACCTCAGAACAGTAAAACAAAAAAGCATATATTATTAGGACTAGAACATTATGTAATAAGTATAATAATAGAGAAATGCATTGAGGTAATGGCACAAA